TCTCCCCTGCTGCCTGTGCCTTCTTTGCCTCCCACACTCTATTTACAGTGGAGGAAGTGACAGGCAGGGGCTGGCTTGTGATCTTAAAGGGCCTCAGCACCTGACCGGCCCCTGTTCAGCAGTGCCTATAGGGTAGTGCCACAAGCATGAGCTACCTGCTCACCCAACCCCTGGTGCGCTGCAATAATGGTAGTTCTGCCGCTGTATACACACAATCAAAACGGAATAGACGGCAAAAGAAGTCATGCCACTAGAAAAATTTCTGGACTTTATTTTATTCCTTATTTTATTAAAATGGTGTCCATGGCTACTGCTTCCGGTCTTCTCCTGCAAAAGAATCTGGTTAGCTTTATAGAGCTAGAATAATTTCTTTAGGAAGAGACCTCCAATCAGGAGTATCCCATTCTAGTCAATAGAGTCTCTTCTTATCCCATAAACTTCTACATAATCTACCCCCAAAGAGCAGTTCTACTGATCACATAGAATGACCTTCTCTAAAAACTGAGAGCAACTGAATTTAACTCGCACGGCGGGTCTCCAAAATGCTCTGGAGTTTTTGCTGCATATGCTTGCATTGTTTTTGTAAAGAAGTCCCATTAAACATATTTATACATATTTTGAAAATAGAAGATAACTACTTCTTATCTGAAATCTCTGACTGATACCAAATTAATCGATATTTAAGGGAGGTAGAATTGAACCTCCTAATACCTACATGTGAAGGAACCAGTCTTCAACTCTTGGTACAACAGCACCATCTAGTGACTTTTATAGACAATCCACTACTTAAGGATAATATGTACTTCAAACCTAAAATGTATTTTTGTATGTGTATGTATATAGGTAAAATTCTAGTCTTCAGAGATGTCCTTTATCAAGCATCTTTTATGTTGAGATCAAAGCGTCAATTTATGCTCACAACAAACCATGGTTTCAGAAAATCTATTTCATACATTTTGATTTATAAAGCATCAACATATTCTTCAGCACTTAACAATTATACATTTCGTGCAGACAGGGTTTACATGCATGACAACGCTCTAGCATAAAAAATCAAAACATATCATACAGTGACATTTGTGATAAACTATTGAATCATATTTATATTGTAGAGACCAGCTGACATGTAGTGGAATATTATGAAATAGAATAATTTACTGTAATAAATACCTTTATATAATGGATAAATACATCTGAGGATCCTTTGTAAATATTGGACTATACTTTAGTTAGGACAGGGGTAGACAGCCTTATAGTAGTATTGTATCAAAACAAAATCTTGAAGTCCCTTGGCAACAAAACGTGCTTGCGTTATTCACAGCTGCTTTGTAATAATAATAATAAAGTATTTAACCAGGAAAAGTACATTCAGTTAACTCTGGTTTCCAAGTATGTCCTGGGAATGTTACTTTTGCCCAACATCCACGGGATGTAACTATTACCCAAATTTAACAGTACTTATTTTATGCACCTTGAAAGGATGAAGAGCTGAGGCAACGCTGTCGGGATTTGAGCCTGCAACCATGAAGGGTTGAACAGATTCTATTGTTAATGCATTAGCCCACTGAGCTTTCTCACCAGTACATGGTATGTTGTATTTGTGCATATGTGGGCTGTTATATTGTATATGCTCATTAATCGTGGTATTGTGTATGATACCTATCAATGTGGGCTGTGTATGGAGGCTGCTTGTAGAATTGTGTACGGGGATGTCCCACCGTGTGTTTGGTTTAAGCATGTGAGAAGCTGCTTGTGAAGATGTGTGTGTATTTGCATTGTCAGTGTTGTTGTGTTTGTGTGTGGGCTGTGTGTGTTATTTGTATGATGGAGAGGCTTAATCTGCAGCTCTGTATATATCTAGCAGTGTGGGGTGCTTCCTTCGGGTGCAATGTGGACCAGGCTGGCCAGGTGAAGGTCAAGTACAGGAGTTGCAATAGCTGATGTGGGCTGCTCTACTCCAGTGCTGATTCCCATTCACAAGTGCTGGGAGGAAGCGATCTGAGATCACTTCCTCCAAGTGCTGCAATGTGTAAATTAGGGATTGTCCCTCTGGCACTCCTCAGACCCTGTTTGTCTCTGGCAGTCTTGAGTGCCATGCAAAGGCACCTCGAAGGCAATGCATGGCACACGTGCCATAGGTTACTGGGCCATAAGTTAGGATCAACCTATTCAAATATGCATGATCCCTTTTTTTTAATCATATTAACAGGATGAGCAGTTGATACATATAAGCAATGTCTTTCTAGTTTATTACTAGAAGTAATAAACGAATGGTTCCTTGTTAATTAGTCTGGCTAGCTAATTATTGTGAAAAGTTTTAGTCATGTTGTTATACTGTACATTATTTAAATAGGACATGTCTTAATCTCCATTGAGACCAAAATTTCTCCCTGTGGAGATTATCTCCTCAAGGACCAATTTATGCCAAGGTTGCCATAACAACCTCACATTTTAATTTAAGGACCAAAGTCTTACACACATGCCATAACAAACTAGCCTTTAAAGATTCTATATCAAAATGGAATGCCCCACTAATTTAACTAATGCTGGGCTTTATAGAGATGCAAATGCAAATAATTAAAACAATCCATACACACGTAGACCAGGTTGTTACGCTTAAGATATTTAGAATGTGAATAGTCTGTTTTAATGCTATGATCTGATTCTTCCTGCAGAATGTAAGCCTGGTTGAAAGGACAATTTGTGATAGCAAGACAAGGCCCTGGGGAGATAGCGCAGCTAAGCGGACAAGGGCACATGTAGGAGTGTGGGGATAGATGCATGGGATTGGATGGGAAAGAGTGTGTGGGTGGGATTATGTTCTGTGTAAGTTAGTGTGGGGGAGGTCTTACCTCAGTGCCACTTGGGATTCGGGCCAGCAAACAGCTTCCCTCCCGCCCGCCCTATTGGTATATTTAGTCACAGCTAGCCGGGGGTATGTCCTTGCCAATTGAGTTTGAGGGGTTACGTTTAAGTATATGGAATGAGATGAACAAGTTTTAAGGTCTCAACCTCCCCTGCTTCAAACGGTTAACATTAGGTTGCCTGAGGTGTCGTGCCCATCGAGCGTGGATAAGGTCGGCTGATGGCGGGCATTGGAAAGATATGATTTTTATGACGAGGGGGGAGGTGAGAGGAAGTGGTGATTAGGAACCACTGTATGTTTATTGGCAAGGACGGTTGGGTCACTGTATAACACTATGTGTGGAGTTATATATGTATATATGTTAACTTATGCTTATTTATGTCTAACGTTTTGGTTACAGAAAAAGAAGAGATTTAATAAATAAAGTTATGGATGTGTTATTTAGTTTGTGATAATAAATGCTGTGGCCTGTTCATCCATACTAAGTGGTCTGTCATTATTGGGGGGTTGAATGGGGTTAGTTTTGTTATAGGCTGCATCGCAATTCCCCACTACGTACATACATGATACTGGTCCTTAGATGGAAAAACCTCTAGAGAGGTAAAGAAACTAAAATCCCAGGAATGGTGATCAAGTTTTTATACAAGGGGGGGAGCGGCCTGACTTTCAAGATGGCCGGACGAGTTTGTGTGCAGCTCCTTCAAACCTCGAGCTATAAATCTGCCTAAAACAACCACCATTTTACTGGAAACAACCCAGAGCTCATTGAAGACAGAAATCCGCAGAAGAGGACATTACTAGTTCCGTGCGACACAGTTTTGGCAAGTAATCTGACTGCCCGGCCGCGCGGCCTACTGAGGCATGCAGCCTGTCGACTTGGAGAAGCGGACTATCTCCCATTTGGGGTCACGTGGGTTAAAGTGAACTTCTTGTAGCATTGCACCCCACCTTGGGTTAGTAGGGGTTATACCAGTCCCCGCTGGGACATTTACTTATCTTCAGTAGCGGTTTAAATCCTGACGATCATGTGGCATCCAGGATAGCCGCAGGCCTTTGCTTCCACTATGCTGAGTTGGCCCTGAGAACCAGACATGGCGGGGGTGCGTTTATGCATAGTTTGAGAGGCTGTGCCAAGAGTTCTGGTAGCAAATAAATTGTCAATCTCATGGACTTACCTTGCATGCCCCACAGTTGAATCCATCTGCTGTTCCGGCTCACTGTTCCTCTTCTGGGCCATGGGGCTCATGTGGAGCAATTTCCACACCGCCATCCACACAGTAGAGGGGTTCTATGAGCCCTAAAGTCCCCACAGGCCTGCAATCCTACCGGTTGGAGGAAAAGGATCCCTGGACTTATGGCATTGGCTACTATTATGGCTTGGGCTAGAGGCAGTGAAAGGGTCTGGCACTATGAACTGAACTTCTTGTACTCGTAAGAAATTCAGATATTCTTGCAATAACCTAACATAAGCCATAGTCATGAACGCCAAACAGGTAGTTACATAAGCCAAGACAAATCATGAAACAAACAATAGAACGATATATATGTATATGATAGTGAATAGGACACATGCTTCGTTTGGCATCATTTGTCTGCGCCAAAACACTGTTGCGAGTAGTCACACAGATTTGGACTATAATATAGAATGCTGTGGGTGCATGCTGTACTAAAGAATCTATAAATGGTAAGTGTGACACCTGGGACCTGAATGTCTACTCATTTAGACACAGAAAGGATTTACAGAGCTACAAATGCTAAATAAGCTGTGTTCTATTGTGACCTAGACTGTACATGCACCAGGATATCAAGATTACAAAGAATGTCATTGTTCCTTAAGGGGTTAAAATATATTGTTGAACTCATTGTATGTAAGATCGCACCCACATACTACTGAGACG